GCAGCCGGTGAGTATGGCGTGTGGTGCATGCGTGCCAGTGTGTGCCAGCTGTCATGCCGTGTGTGCACGCCAAGGAAGGCGGGGAGGCAGCCGGCCAGAGAGCAGGGAGTGGGGTCGGCTTTCAGGAGCAAGCCCAGGCTGCCAGGTGGCTGGCAAAGTCTGTTAGGGGCATGGAAGGACATCGCAGGCCGTCCCAGCCCGCAGCCGGTGAGTATGGCGTGTGGTGCATGCGTGCCAGTGTGTGCCAGCTGTCATGCCGTGTGTGCACGCCAAGGAAGGCGGGGAGGCAGCCGGCCAGAGAGCAGGGAGTGGGGTCGGCTTTCAGGAGCAAGCCCAGGCTGCCAGGTGGCTGGCAAAGTCTGTTAGGGGCATGGAAGGACATCGCAGGCCGTCCCAGCCCGGAGAGTGTCCTGCCAGGGTCTGAGATGCCCTTGCGTGTGAACGCTGGAGACCCAGCATCCCCCCTCCCCAAATCCCCAGCTGCAGTGTGACTGACTAACTGGGTGCCTGGCCTTTGTTTTGCAGGGGATTCCCAGGGGAGGGGAAGGGAGGGGGTCCCAGCATGCTGAGACCCCCAAGGCCCTCGGGCTGGAGTGGGGAGAGACCGGGCTCCCAACAGCTGTTGACTGGGGGAGCCAAGTGGGCTTGTTGCTCGGGGGGGGGCTCGCCCCAGCCCTGGCCCTGGCCTGAGTGGGAGGCCCACAGGTGTTGGCAAGGGGGCTGCCAGGCCTTGGCACCCGCCCTGCATCTGGAGCAGATGGCTTTGGAGGCCCCCAGCCACCCCCAGGCTGGGGCAGGACCCTCCAGCCACACGCTCCTTGCATTGCCCCCACCCAGCAGCCCCCCTCAAGTGCCTCTTGGCCCCACTCCGGGGCCCTCCTCCCCCACTCCGCTCTGCTGCAGGCAGTCCGTCCTTGACTTCCTTGCCTGATCCCGTCTGGCTCTCCTGCTGGGGGTTCTCGCTGGAGCCTTCCTGGCGGGCAGGGCAGGCCTTTCTTCCCACCGGATTCAGAGGGCCAGCAGCCTCTTTTCCTGCTTCCTCCAGCCTGCTCCCAGGTCGGGTGCCTTAGGCGTCTGTGTGAGCCTTGACTGGGCACTCAGTTCTTCCTCCTCCTCCTCCTCCTCCTCCTCTGGCCCAGGTCCTCCAGAAGCCAAGCCACGAACTGAAGCAGCAGCTGGCGGCGTATTCGAAGCGGGTGGCTGGCTCCGTGACGGAGCTCATCCAGGCAGCTGAAGCCATGAAAGGTGGGTGGGGGAGGTGGAGGCTCCTGGTCCTTCTCCCCGTCCCAAGCTGCTGGCCTTTGGACACGGAGGCTGCAGGGTTCCGGTGCTGAGAGCGGAAGAAATGTGCCGGCCCTTGCGGGGTGGGGGATGCAGGGGAGACGCCTTGCAGACATGGCGTCAGAATGGGATTTATTCCTTCCAGTTAATACCTGACCCTCTTCCCTCCTCCCTCTATTTGATTTATTTTGAATGCTTCCCATCTTGCAGAATTATTTAATTGTGTTATAATTTTTTTCTTTATATTTGTTATGTTTTTATGTTGTAAGCCGCCTAGAGTAGTCAAAGCGACCAGATAGGCGGGGTATAAATAGAATGAATGAATGAATGAATG